TAAGATTTCATGGTAATTATAATTTCTGAAGTCATTAACAAAAGAGATTTGAATTTGAATGGGAGTAATGAAGTTTATAGTTTGTGTATTTTATCCTTTGTTACGGACAGGTAAGGAGGTAGTGAATAAAGAGTCTAAAAATTATGTGTCAATAATTGGTCATTTGGACAAGCGAGTAGATTTGTTAGACAGTAGCGTCAAAATTGAAGACCCCGACAGGTACAATGCTGTTTTGTCTGTCATGGCATCTAAAGTATCGTACGAGAATAAAGCTTTCGTTCATGATATTGTGGTAGATCACTGGAAGGTATACATAAAATAACATTTCATCTTTCTTTTGTAATAAACATTTTAGTTAGTGTATGTTTGAATGCATAGAAAGGGACTAAAATGAAATGGAAAATTTAATAAAATAGAATGTAATATAATGAATTAGAGAGTATCTCAATCTTACACTCACGCTAATTTTTTGGCTCTCACGTAGATGGAGCTGGTTGAATGTCGTGACTACTGGAATGGTATATAATTTATATTTTGGTTTAAGAAAATGTTTTGCTTTTCATTTTTATTTTTAATTGCAGATTGTATTTTGTTTTCATTTTTTTTTCTTTAAATTTCAATTGTTTCTGCTAAAATGAGACGAGGAAAACTCTTGCGGCTTCCGTTCGGGAATGCTCCGCCTCCACCGATCGATCCTCCTTGTTCTGGTCTTACCGCCTGGATCTTTCTCTCTCAATGCCAAAATGGGGGTGACCTGCAGGAAACACTCCGACGCTCAAGTCAGAATTTATCTCCGCAAGTCTAGTCTAAATTAGAAAATCAGAGAGCTTACCTTCTTAATCAATTGTTATTTATAGGGTTTCAAGGAATATCATCCATTAATTTACCTCTTAATGACGATCAATGTCAACCTTAACTGCTCCACGGTGATCGTTACATCGTTAATTATGTATTCATTGACATTCAAAGGTTGTCTCCAGCTGGAGAGTTCACGAGTATTATTCTAGTGTCCGACCGAAAATGATTGGCTTCCATCACCCCTGTGTGTCCGGTCGGGCTAACCTCAGTAGTAACACTTCCATCGTCCTTGGCCGATCGGTCTAACCTACTTAGTAGTAACTCAAGCATGCTCGGTCGGTCTAACCTACTCGATAGTAACTCAAGCATATTCGGTCGGTCTAACCTACTCGGTAATAACTCAAGCATATCCGATCGGTCTAACCTCCTTGGTAGTAACTCAAGCATGTCCGGTCGGTCTAACCTACTCGGTATTAACATCAATTTTTTTTATAGGTAAGTTAGAAACATCAAGAGGTAAACTTATTTTTTGTTATTTTTGTACAACTTTATTGAAAACAGAAATAATAAAGTAAAAATAATATAACATTTCTAATTATATAAAAAACAAGAAATAAGCATTTTCCTAAACTAACTAATTCAACCCTAAAAAAATATATCCATGCATCCCATTAGTTGTACAAAACATTCTAAATATTAAAAGAGGGACTAGCAATGAACTTCTTAATTAATTAATTCTTTTATACATGAACTTTTTCATTAGTCTAAAATTTATTAAAAATTACAACTTTTGATGACCATCATGTCTTGTTTAATTTTATTCTTTTTTCATTTTCAATTAACTTGAAAAACGTGTGAATATGTTGTCAGCTTCTGAAAGACCGATAATTTGGTTGTGGTCGAAATTTTGCAGATTGTCAAGAAAAAGCAACAACGCAGGGTTTTATCATGTTAGAAAAAAGTGAAGAGCAGCATAGATACATGGTGGCTTTCAGAGGAACCGAACTCTTTGATGCTGATGCATGGTCCACTGATGTCGACATTTCATGGTTTGAGATTCCTGGTGTAGGAAGAATCCACTCTGGTTTCATGAAAGCATTAGGGTTACCATTGGACTTGAACAAAGAAGAGTTGATATGGCCTAAGGAAATCGAAACCGATGAGAACCGTCCACGTGCTTATTACTCCATAAGGGATTTACTGAAGAAGCATTTGAAGGGAAATGATAAAGCAAAGTTTAGTTTGACGGGTCATAGTCTTGGTGGAGCTCTTGCAATTCTCTTTCCGGCAATGCTGATGCTGCATGACGAAACATTTCTGTTGGAAAGACTTGAAGGGGTGTACACGTTTGGACAACCTAGAGTTGGAAATAAAACATTTGCAAGTTACATGGATAAAAACTTGAAACATTATAGCATCAAGTATTTCAGGTTTGTTTACTGCAACGATGTTGTCCCTAGGTTGCCCTTCGATGATGGCATCCTCAAATTCGAGCACTTTGGATCATGTCTGTATTATGACAGGAGCTATAACGGCAAGGTATATATATATATATATATATATATATATATAGGTGATTGTGATCAACTTCTATTTTTGTCGAATAGAGATGTTTTATGTTAAATAGATATAAGTTGATAATTGTCGAGTACAGAAAGTGATTTGTTGTCGACAAAATTAATGTAGAAAGTGCAAGAGGAGCCGAACAAAAATTACTTCTCGTGGAAGGCTATGATACCGATGAAGGTTAATGCTTTGTGGGAACTTGTAAGGAGCTTCACTATTGTGTATAAATATGGAGATGAGTACGAAGAAGGATGGCTTCTAAGATTTGTTAGGCTTTTGGGCTTACTACTTCCTGCAGGCATACCGGCCCATGGTACTCAGGATTACGTTAATATTACCCGCCTGGGAATTCCCTCACATTTGGATTGATTCATCTCAACTATCAAGAGTACAGTCATGATTAATATGTAGACTTGTGTTTTTTTCTCTAAGAATTTAAGAATGGAATACTTTTCCTTTTTAACATGGTGCATACATAACAATAGACTCTGAAAATCATATTGATTGATTAAATATGATGTAAAAATATACTTGCCAAAATAAGTCGGCATTTATTACTTTAATTATTACTAGAATTACTTATTTATATCAATTTATTTCAAACTAATGAATATATACTTTTTCCAATAGTAATCAATAAATAACTAATACTACATTAGTTCTATACTTGAAATGTTGAACGTGTGATAAGATCCTAAAGGTGATTTTGATTGCTTCCTTTATTTAGAAAATGTCTCTTGTTAATTTTTTTTGAAGAATACTAAGTAAATTTATAGGATCAACATAAATTATTGATCTATGTTCTTATGAGAATAATACCTATGTGAGACATATAATAACACTATAATAAACAATAACAAAATAGTAAATAATAATCAACATACCAAACTATTCAAGATTTAATTATAATAGGTTAATATAACTCAAATAAATATAGATTTGAACAGTTCTATAATAAAGAGACTTAAACGGTCTTATTCAACTATACTTTTTAATATACCTATTGGATAGAGTAAAAATAATCACCATTAAAATTAGTTTACTTCTATCTATTACATCAATTAAAAATAAAAGGTACAGGAGAAAATGATATGTTCTATATAATGTTTCATATAATATGGTATATATTATGTAGGATTAAATTTATTCACCAAGCCGTTTCATTTTTTATATTTCATTGTCTCTCCGTTTAATTTTAATTTTCTTTCCTCCCACATGTAAGTAATTTTGTCATTCTTCTCTCGTTATTGTCGATGTCACTTTATATTTGATTCATACATCATAACTCTTCAATTACTTATTAGGTCCCTATTCCAACTATATTTTACTCTTAATCTCCTGCATGTTTATATTTGTTTCATATCTATTTGATCTCGCCTACACACTCGTAACTTTCTATTGATATCTAAACCGTTTTCTTGTGTTTTTCTCACATATTTGAAAATTTTATTTGTTTTTAACATTATTGTATATTTGAAAACTAATTTTCCTTACAATTTTTTGTCTGGTGAGAAATTTTGAAAACAACATATTATTTTTCAAAATACGCACCATAACATGTTAGAAAAAGTGAGTCAAACGGACCTAATTGTGAATTTCTCATTGCGGTAAACTTTCGGATTACCAATTAGGGAAAGGAAAAAAAAAACTCTTCCCAAACGCGGTCATCACAATGCACCGCTGCAAGCCTCTTAACCAGTACTCCAAATGCGTGGCCACAAGCTCAACCAAGGAAGAACAAAGATTACACACGTGCAAGGACACACCAGGTGAGAAGAAGAAAAAAAGAGAGTTAAATTACAAAACCCTTAAAGTTAGTTTTGACATTTCATAAATATAGGGAGTGTAGGTCACAATTTGAGAGGTGCATGAAACAACTACCATTTCTTTTTTGTAATCTAGGCCCACTTACAATTACTGATTCATATCTTGCTCACATTTCAAAATTAGATATCTGTTGTATCAAATGATAATGTGTTATGTAATCGTGTAATAAAATTTGTATTATCTGTGTTTTGTTTTAAGTGTGCTTTAGCTACTTAAAAAATTGAATAATTTATTCTGCAGGCAAGCTCTTACTTAAGTATGGTATGAAAAATATCAGCTCTTGGTACGAAAAATATAAAATTAAGTACAAATTTCACGTTCAATTTAGAATTTACTTATTGATTTAAGAGATCAACGTAACACACCTAGCCAAAAGAGATTTACTCACCCAATGTTTTAATTTGTCCAGCTGTGAGTCCTGAAAATCTATAAATGAAAGACTTTATATAGTTGAAATTCATTCTTTGGTATAGACTATTTTATAAGAGGGAGACATTCATCATATTCACGATATTAGACTTAATGTCTTAATTTTTTATGATTTTTGTTATTCAATCTATTTTTTTTTTATTAAACACGATGTTAAAACCTAGGTTAGGATAGAACAACTAATAGATTTAACTCTAGACATGAAGCTTTAATCATTGATATTCTAAATATCCAAATTTAAATATGTAATACAAACTTTTGATAAAAAAAATCTAAGATATTAGGATTTTTATTAATAAGTTTAAACCAAAGGTTGTGTAGATATTAACTTACCTATACAAAATTCTGAATCATATGATAATTTTGCCTGCAGTAAAAAATTGAAAGAAGAAAGTTGGCCGCGACCACTGGTTTTTATTTACACAGAATACATGGGTACCTAGGTCCAAATAATGGTGTAAGGTTTTCTAACACATGACAATGAATTCCATCAAATTCTCATTAAGTCAAATGTAGAATATATTCTTTTAAAAACTGGTCAAAACCTTCATGACTTAGGATTTTACATGGGATCGATCACTGAGCATTGCTGCCGAAACAACTGCCTGGAGACCACATCGGTGCATATTTGGAGAACGAAAATACTCTACACTTGGAAACCTCTTGGCCCTGCTGTTCAGGAATTGAACTTCTCATATTTTCAGCTTTCAACTGTGCTCTTCGCAACTTGTTTAGAATCTTATCCATTGATGAAGATCTCTTCTTTTCTAATTTCATCTGTGCCAAATGTTATCATGGTCAGAAGAGATTAAATTGTTGTACTATATATACAATTTCTACATATATTTTATCCGCTCTATCATACAGCTTACACTGAAATATAGCAACATCCTTCAATAAATTCAATATCTTGCTTTCACCAAGATAACATGAATACGAATTGGAGTTGGTCTCCCTACAAACATGGTATAATAAACTACCATATACTAATTGATATGAACAGAAAAAACCTCAAGTTTCCTTATAGAAGTTTCAGCCTTTGCTTTCTGCAAATTCTCCCATGCAACGATTTTGGCTTCCTCTCTCTTTAACCTGCGCCAAAGCAGAAATTTATGGATAAATGGATGAGTAAAACAATAGCATCGTATGCACTTGATATCTGAATATTGAAGAGATTGAAAGATCATGCCCAAGATGACTTAAGGAACTGAAAAGCATTCATTTGCAGCCTCCAAACTGTTTCTATATCCAAAAATTGTTCTGCTGCTACCTTTGGCCAAGGAACCAAAGGGACTAATGTAATGAGTTTTAAAATATATGGTTTTCAGTATTTAAGCAAGATACTTGGAATTGTCTATGTTTTGCTCGTCAATTTCCCAACATGAAGCCTGGGGTTGTGCACTAATCTCTGTCGAGTCTTTGCTGTGTAGTAAGTCTTTTTTTGCCAATTTGGTTGCATGCCTCTTGGACCATCTGATAATAGTAGCTTGACTGTCAACTTGCACATCTCTGACCACTAATTTAGAAGAATGGCATTCTTGTTGATCCACAGCTGAAGTGGCAGTAGAAGACATAGGAGATGAATGTGCATCATTCTCTGTCTCTGCAGGGCTCATTTGGGTACCTTTGTCACATCTTGACAAATTAGATGCTCCATTTTCCTCATTCATCATTTCATCATGTTTCTCATCTGCAAATTAAAACAATAGAATATTTTTAAACATGTAGATTCTCCTATGTCAACAAGTGCTGGTGTACAAAATTATGTTCCAGAATCCAATAAGCGTGTTGGTAACACATGCTAAGCTCACCATAAAAGACTTGGATTTTATTTGTGCGTTAAACATTGTTTAAGAAGGAAGTGTTTTAAACGTGGCTAAACTTCAAATTGAAAACTAATTTGACAGTGAACCTAAAATTTCGAAACACAGGATGTCTTACCAAAGACTTAAAGCCCTAGTTACAGCAATTAACAGAACTGTATATTTCGTTTATGAATGAATTCGTCTTGTTGGGCAATGTGATCTGCATACAACACAGTGTGCATAAATTATCCCTAAAAACTAGGTATAAACAGCTACCCTGTATCAGAAATAGTTTCTCCTCAAACGATCATCACTTGATTACATTGATGAAATATGCAATGTATTAGTGAAATTCTATACCTTAGAAAACTCAAATCTTTTAGTATTAATAGTGAGAAAGCCCTTTAATATATTATATATAAATCAACTATTACACCAAATACAGAAACTCTTAATTTTCATAAGGATGCCATGTGAGAGCACCAAATGTATTTTACCTTGAGAGGTAGGAGATGAATGATCACATGGCAGTTCAGAACACGTGGTGGGTGCAGTGGGCAATGAAGAAAGCACGACACCATTCTCGGTGAGCACAGGAGTGGAAAACTGTATCCCATTGTCCATGTCATAACCAAAAACAGTGGCATCATGTGGATCATAATGGTGAACAGAAACAGCAACCGGTGCCAACACCCCAGTTGAGAAGGGAGAACCCACTACCAAGTTTCTGACAACCAACCCTTGGCGCAGTGGAACCACAGGTGAGTAATTTGAATAGAAAGCAGCAACTCCAGGAGGCACAATTGGGCCACTTATTGACTTGGGTCTGCGCTGAAGTTGTGCGTGCGAACTTCTGCTCTCAGCATAGGCAGAAGCTGGACTAGAAATCCACCTCTCAGCCTCATCCCATTTGGAGGGCATTGTTCTTCCACCACTGAAAGGTGTTATCAACCCTGCCATAGTGTGCCTTCTACTGATGCCGCTGCTGCTTGAAGCCTTTGAAACTCTCTCTGAGCTCCACCCCTTTTGGCTCCCAACGTTTCTCTCTCTATAATATGGTGCCCCTGGACTCGGGAAAGAACCCAAGTTCTGGAAAGAAGACGAAGAACTCTTCTTCATGACACTCAATGGGACAGTTAATTGCTCTGCCGATCGAGAGAGGCACCGGAGAAGATGCAAGAACAGAAAATCTCACTACAAAAAAGGAAAGCTGAGCATGTTTTGACCCATCATCTATGTTAACCCTCTTTCTGCAATCCACTTTAACTGAGGTTGAAATATCGATGTACTTAAATCTGATCAGATTCGTTGTACCCAAAAAGAAACAACATTAGATTTTGACTAGTCATGTTTCATCACTCAACCACTTTGTTTTGTTACACCAAAAAAGAGGGTAATAACAGGTAAGAAGGAGTAACAATTGTCAAACACATTATAATATGTGACAACAAAGTCGAAACCAGAAAATCAAGAGTAGGTACTAACTAACATGATTTGTGGTTAAGCACGGTTGTAGTTAATTACCTGTCTTAATCTGTGTACCGAAGAGACTGTTGTTTAATAGATCATAAGCAAGGTTTTGTGCAGGGATCGACATACCCGGAATGTGGACATGTTACATATTGCGTGAGGAGACAGGTCACGTTGTTACAACCCCAGCGAAGTAACTATATTTTTCATAGGAAAAGAACCATTCATTGAAGATGGAACAATGAGTGAGGAAGGTGGGTTTAGAAGGAGCAAGACGTGGACATCATCTGTGAAACATTTTGTAGATTTGCTAGAAACCCATCCTTGCACTTGTCATGTCGTCTGTATATTCCAAATGCCACTCACATGCAGTGGACCGCAGGCTTTCACATTTTTTTTATTTTTCACGCCATGAAAGGGTCTATTTGCTTCAATTTTAATTACAGTAGCGGTCACATTTGTGATTACATTTTGGTAAGAGGGAAGAGTTGTCCTCTGCACATTCACATTTTCACCTCTAACATTATTGTGTTCGGTGATGGGCGTTCTTTCAAACAGATCTAAACCAGCTTCTATTACTATCTTTAAATATGAATCGGAGTGTAATTTAACATTGTATCCTTTCGAGATGGGACCCTAATCAGATCAATATATTACTCGAGGAGAATTTATATTTATATGTTATGATATAAAAAATTATTGTTATTATTTAAGATTCTTTACCCAATTTCTCTCTTTTGATTTGAGAATCCCAAGACCCATACTAAATCCTTGAAAAAGGTGAACACCGCCAAGGAAAATAGAGGGATCAACAGCACAAATTTCATCACGAGAAACAGTGTCTCGATACTGTTAGGGTTGTGTTTGAAATCATTCCAATCAAACTTATACAGAAACAAACATCATAAAATCAATTTTATGATATCAGAGTTGTGCAGACACCGAATTCGACTTTTTTTTTTATAATTATTACAAATTACAAATTATTTTAATTTATATTTACTATTTAAAAATTGATTTCATCAAAATTCTAAAACAGATTTTAAGGTATCATTGGATCACAACTCCCTTAGATGGAAACCAGAGTTTTTTTCTTTTTTCACTTGGTGTCACTTTGTCAGAATTGGAAAAGTTTAAGAAGATCTATTTAAACAGCTGTTTTTTTTTTAATTTGTTTTTACTACATGCTTGTATATCAAATTTCTGAATATAAACTTATAAAAAACAGGACATATTAATGTTTACTTTAAGTTAGTAGCAACCATATCATTTTTTTATGAAAGGTTGACTCTAATTTTTCTATATTTCATTCATAATATAACCTTTAAAAGAGATATATTACAAAATCATAAATATTTTAAGAATCACTAAGTTTACCTAGTAAACAAATTGAAAAATAAATATACACAGCACAAAATACTACAATGTGCATTATAGAACATTGTACATCATACTAAACCTCCCAATCATTAGGCTAATAATAACTGGTTCAATTTATTTCATTAAAGAAATTATTATTTTAACAATCCTTTCTTAAATTGATATATACTTATATCAAATATTAATTTAAAGTCATGATACAAATCAGCTCTCTCAACTTCAAGAATAACTATCTTTTTAAAGCCTTGGTGAATATGTAACTGACTTAATCTTCAGTTTTGTACCAAACTAGTTAAATACTTTCTTCTCTCTACAAAAGTCTCCTAAGAAATAAAATTGCCCATCAATATTTTTGCTTCATGTATTATTGGATTTTTTTTACTATTTGATTGTTGAGTTATTGTTAAAAAAAATGTATTAACATTATGTGAGAATGTTGCTTGTAACGAGGGCAACAAATGGACTGCGTCCATAATACATAAAGATATGAATTATTTGCAAAAAATTTGAAAGGTGAAACCAACAAAAGCATTGTTTGTTGCAAGTAAATCTTTAAAAACCCACTTAAAAAATGTTTAAAAATAGAGTATGATCCAATTTTTTTTCTCTTCTTGATTGCCTTCAGTTATGATGTAGTCTGTGACTCTCGATCAAACTTCCACAATGGATTAAGTCTTTCTCTAAATTAATGATGCATAAATGTCATTTAACTTAGTCCATGGACAACTCTGATCTTCTCTAAAAATAAAACCCTATTCTTTTTTACTCACTTTACTCACTTAACAGGAGATTTTTTTAAATTTCTAACTTTCAAAGTCCTAAATAAAAGTGAGTTAGAACAATAGAATGAGACTGAACCCCAAAATAAAATTAATTCATTTTTAATGTATTTTTTCCATATGATATTTTACTAATATCATTTTTTTCTTCTTAACTCTAAATATTTTTTTGTAATGTGAATACTCAAGAAAAATTATAGTTTAAGATTTTTATTACACAAGGGTAGTTTTTAATTATCTAATAAAAAAGAGATAGTTTTGATAGAAATTAGTGTAATGATTATTTTGTATAAAAATGAAAGTTAATTTATATTTTTTTCTAATCTATTATTCCTAAATAAAATATAAATATTGATTTTATAGAAAGTTATTCAAAAAGTAATTTTGTAATTATAATCATATTTTAAATACAAAATTTCATTATTTTGAAAAGTTGAAAATATAATATATGTGGAGTTTGTTTAAACTTAAAAATAAGGTAATTTTGAAAGAAAGAAAAATGTCCAAAGTGAGTCATATTTTTACAAGTCCAGAAACTAATATTTGGATACAATTGTAAAAGTATATTTTCTTTTAATTCTTTCATGTTTTGAAAGTTTGTAGGACTTTATTTTGATAAAATATTTAAAAATTATATATAAATAAGTTTTTAATTTATTTTTAGTTTTAACATCTAAAATATAATAAAAAAAAATTTCTCAAAAGAATCATCCATAAAAAATCAAATAAATTATTATTTTTATAAAACTGTACTAATATAACACAAATATTTACACGTATATCAAAATTAAATAAAAATACACACAATTTAATAAAATTAAAAAAAACAAAACTAAATGTTAATACAATTGCATAATTTAATTAAGGAATGTATGACTAATAGATATGATTAAGTTAGGTTAAACTAATATGTTAACTTAATAAAAAGATATTATTAGCAATAAAATATAAAAAATCTATGAACAACCTTAACTTATATAGCTTTACGGATATTTGACCTGAACTTTTTTAATAAATAATATTTGTTGGTTTTATAAACTTTTTTTATCTAATCCATATGAGTTAAGACCAAATCCTATTAGATAGAGTAATTTAATAAATTTAATAATAACACATATCTCAACATTTGAACTCCAATTATATTGCATAAAATGTACATCTGGACTTAATTCAAGTATTTATCAATATTCATAATTTTTCCATAGTATAAGATCTTGAAAAAAAAATTCTAGTATGGTATTAAAAAACTAATCATAATCTAATGATAAATGGATTCGTATATAACAAAAACACACCTTACTAAGATGATTATTCAATATTATTAGGAGAAGTTTATATAGGATAAGAATCTAAATGAGTCACAATCATGACAAGTTCTTTAACAATGTTGGGCTAGCCCACATGACATGATGGCTCACAACCTAGGTGTAGTCAAGTGTGAGGAAGTTCATGAAAATTCGAAAAAGAGTTCACATTAACATATCACAAACATTATTTCCAAGAGAATCACACACCACATTTCTAAATAGATACATTGTCATCCTTAGAATACTCAAAAAAATTATGGGTGACAACTATGGATGAAATGTTCAATATTACACCTCACACTTGTGGTCACTTTCAGCCACATGTATAGTGAGTATTGTTCAATATTACAATTCATTTAGTTTCTTCAATCATTACTTTGCTTCTTGTGCCTCCAAGTGTCTTTGTTTATAAATGCATTGAGTTCTTTTCATGCATTCATTTTTTAAATCTCATTTTTTGTCCTTTAAGATCTTGCTTTCTAGAAGACTTCTTTTAAAAAACAAATCAATTCATCCCATCCCTTAGCCTGCCAATGATTGAACTTATTTCAATACTATGTTGAAAATAACAACCTAGAATATCATTGGTGTTTAAAAAATAAGCATATTTAAGCATAAACACGATGTAACAGTTACAAGACTGTTTTCTTATAAAATTCTCTAGTTCAACAATTTTATAGAACTAATAATTTCCTAAGTTGGATAAATGTACCTTTAAAGAAAAGAAAAACCATTAGCTTACAATAAAAGACATAATACATGCATGAGTATAATTTATTATCATGAAATTAATTTCAGCAATCCATAAAGCTTCACTTATATAATTCAACTTATGAGTTGATAATTATAAGTTGAATACTCAAGCACAAGATTCTGCAATGACTAATATTTTTCTCTCTAGAGCTATAATTCTATTGTTAAAAAAAAATTATGATGTTGAGATATGAGAATATAAGAATAATAGAAGAAATAATTTTAACCAAACAATTATCAGCGGATCTATGTATTTAATTAATTTGTGATAGTTAATGGTTCAAATGACATTATTTAACAAAAAGCTCAATTCAGTGCATTAACTTAAACCAACTTGCTCTTGACTTTTTGACTCGGGAAATTATATGATTACTGTAGTCCTTTTTGCATCTGACTGTTATAGTATAATAATCCCACCAAATTTATTATTTATTTAAATTTTATATTAATATTCATATTAAAATTTATTACAAAAACATGATAACAAAATGTGGTTTAATAATACACAGTAATGTAATATCAAAAATTCATGTTTAATTGAAAAATATTAATATAATATGTATATAAATAATAAATTTGATTTCAATGGAAAGAATAATATCATTTAGTTTTAAAAAAATTAAAATTAAATTAAATCAATGAGACATATGTAGGAATTACATTGAAATCAAACATTTGTTATTAACACACTGACATGTAACATTGTCTTGTTATGTAATATTAATAGTGTAATATTAATAGTGTCATGTTTTATATCAAAGATTTGACATGTGAATAACAATTTTTTTTTAAAACTATTTTAAAATAAACTAAAAAAACATATATTAACATGTGGCATATATACTATTAATGTTGTTAGTAATTTTTTTTGAAAAAAAAAATCTAATTGAGACATTTTTTTCAAAATTTGAGACACAATGGAAACAAAAAGTTAAGAAATACCAATTTAAAACTTTCCCATCAAAGTAAGGAGCATCCTAATAATTAAGTCTTTTTCTTATCCATTCACCATTCTTTGACTCATTAATATGTTATTGAACATTAGGTTATTGATATGTTATTTTCTTCTTTGGGTTCATCTCTCACTCTATGTTATGTTCTTTTTCATGGTGATT